AGTCTCTTCCACTCCACTCATATATATATATATATATATATATATATAGGAAAAAGATGTGGTTAGCAAGCTCGTACGCCGACCGTTACAATTAAAATAGGAAAAGATTAACCGCTAGTAAAAAAATGGGCCTAAAAAAGAACATACCGAGTCCTTTCTCTCTCTCTACTCTTCCCACCTTCATCCCTCCTCTGCCTCTCCAACGCTCCTGTCAATAGCGATCTCAATCTCTGTATCTCTCTCTACCTGATCTTGCGCTCAACCCACCCCTGCCTGCAAGCTTCCCCCTCTATGTATCTCACATCACATACAAGTAGAGCCAAGCCCTTCACCCCCAAAGATAGCATACCTCGACGAATATTTAACACAAGCTGCCAATATATTTCCGTGAATTGGAGTAGAAAACCCCTAAATGGTGCCTGTGTCACCATGTTTAAATGAATTCACAAATCTAGTTCATGTGTCAAGACGGCAAATTGGGCCTCCAAATGCTTCAAAACAACACAAGGCATATGCAATTACCTAAAAAACACAATTCATGTGCCCCTTTGAACTGTGAAATCATTTATTAGAAAAAAAACAAAATGGATTCACAATTAAAAATGCTAAGGTATAAACCCAACTCAGCGTTAATATGAACTGGGCGCGGTATTTATAAGGTTGCAACCTTAAACAATCCAATTAAGGCGCACCTCCAAATTTTATCATAATATGTAATTTTGTTATAAAAAAATTAAAATTATCTTAAAATCTATTTTTATATCTAATTAGAAAATTTTAAATTCCAAAAATTGTTAAAATCAAATAGATCTATAGACATATGAAAATCTTGAAAATAGACAGTTTAGATAATGTGTTGCAAGATGCACTATTTATGGGACTCAAAAACTTTTTTTTTCATATTTATACATCTTGATATCGAGATGATCAATTAAAAGGTTTTTCAACATTAAAACATCCCTTCTGATAGATTTTTGAGGTGCATCTGTAATTCTATGATTGCAACTTTATATAAACTTTTCCTCGTATAAGATCCAAATACAGCTTCTAATACAGTTAAATCATTTTATGTAGGCACGTTTTCTATGAACCTTTTGGCTTCTGCCCATTCTCTCTCTGACATTCACGTTTTCTATGAACCCTTTGCGGATGCTTTCTTTGGGCCTTAGTTATAGACATTAAGGGATGGCAGAGAAGAGCATGGGATGATTTTGGGGTTCTAAGAGGTTCCTTTGAGAGAAGAGAAGGGTTGAGATAGAGGAGTGAGAAAGAGAGGAGATGGGGCAGGTATGAGGGAGTGCGCGCAAGGAGCAGGAAGTCGGAGAGGAAGAGAGGCGGTGGTAGGGATAAAGGTGGGAGGGAAGAGTAGAGAGACACGTTTATGTTTTTGCACAATTTATTGCAAGCTTATACTTTTTTTTCGTTGTAATCGCAACCGTCCAAAATTCATATGGTCATAATTGTCCGGTAGTGTTTCACTTTTCATTTTTTTTTTTTATATATCAGAATGATCTGAAATTTGGAGTGTGTATTTATCAAAAATAAGCAAATCTAAAAGAAATATCAAAAAATTATTTTACAATAAAAATTAACCAAAGGTATTTTGGTCAATCTTTTTCACGAATTAATTTTTAAATATTTCAGGTCATTCCAATTTGTAGAAAAAAATGAAAAATGAAATACTACCTGATAATCGTGACCGTGTGATGAACTTTGGAGGGTGATGAGGGTAGGCGAAATCACTGTTCATTTTCGCCTATAGACGTTAGGAAGACTTTTCCTATATATATATACCCTTATTCTATGGTATAGTAAATTTTTGTTTCGGAGTATTTTAGTCAAGAGTAAATTAAAAATTCTTAATAGAAACAAAAACATTTATTAACAATGGTGAACAATGACATAATCAATACGGTGTGTGACATCACCCATGAGATGTATTAATTGTTTTTTCACTACTAATAGAATACCACTATTTTATTCTAAAAATATTTATTCTATATATATATATATATATATATATATAT